CGCGCACACACACACAGTGACTCTCTCGCTCACACACACACACACACATTGCCTTCCCCACACACAGACACAGGACCCCCAGCTAATTACCTCTGTGTCCTCTCTCTCTGTGCTCCAGTGGTCACCATCCTGTCGAGGTTGCACGCCGACCGGAACGTTTACCCGTCTGCAGGCGTGCTGTTTGTCCACGTCCTGGAGAGAGAGTACTTCAAAGGAGAGTTTCCCCCCTATCCCAAACCTGGTCTGTGTTCCTCATTGGATCACTCAATTCAATAATAACCAGATTACTAATTTTACTATTACTACTAATACCTATTTATTATTAATACTAATAATAAATACTAATCTATTCGGTAATAAAATATATTTAGCTAAGCTACAATACAGTAAATGCATAAATGTCAGTGTCAGAGTAGCATTTAAATCTCCCACTCTCAGAGCCTAGTTGACTACTAGGCTAGGCGTTTATTGTACATGTACCAACGTCTGTCCGTACAGGGGATTCCAGCAACGACCCCATCACCTTCAACACCAACCTGATGGGCTACCCAGACCGGCCAGGCTGGCTGCGCTACATCCAGAGGACCCCACACAGCGATGGGGTGCTCTACGGATCCCCCACTGCAGAACACATGGGCAAGGCAACCATCATAGAGGTGTGTGGCTCCATTTGCTGCTAATGCAGTTGGAGTAATTTGTCTAAAGTCATGAACAGTATCTATCTCTCTCTCTCTCTTCTCTCTCTCTCTCTCTCCTCTCTCTCTCTCTCTCCTCTTCTCTCTCTCTCTCTCTCTCTCTCTCTCTGACTCACAAACACACACACACACACACACACACACACACACACACACACACACACACACACACACACACACACACACACACGAAGACACACATGGACACACACACACACACACACACACATACATACATACACACACACACACACAAAGACACACACAGACACACACACACACGCACACAAACAGACACACACACGGACACAGACACACACACATACACACACACACACACACACACACACACGGACACACAGACACACACACAAACACGCACACGCACACACACGCAAACACATAGCCTTGAGGGATGTATAATAGTCATGTGCATTCACCTGGTCTTCTCTGCAGTTATGTTTGCCAGCCAGGGTCCTGTCAGTCAGATATGTGGGCACAACCTGAAACAATCATAGTCGTGGTTAGTTATTATTTACAGTAGATAGTCCAGCAGGTAGAACAATATGTTTGTTGTACATATGTAGCTGTCACATGGTTGTGATATAGCCTTTTTCTAGGTTTTTAGACATGCCTAGTCTGTAAGGTATAATCAGGCTTAGATTCCATTATGTGTTTCAAGCTTATCGGTACCTAACCTACTGTAGCATTTTCCCAAAGGTTCCCTGTAGGAATGCTCCTAATGGATGGCAGTGCCCCAAGTCCCCCTTCCCTCTGAGCCTTCTACTATGGTATATGTTTGCATCTGGCTCGGACCTCGCCAGCAAGCCTCAGCCTGGGGCATAAGCTGCGCTGATCTGGGCTTAAACTTTCCCCCTTATGTGTTCCAGATTACTGCCTATAACAGGCGCACTTTCGAAACGGCCCGGCACAACTTGGTCATAAACATCATGTCCACGGAAGGTAAGAGAGAGAGACAAAGGACAGGCTTAGTGAGGAGAAGATGAAGCAGGATGTTCTTAATTAAAATCTAAAGGGTCACCTTCAAGGATGACACCCCCATAAATCCTGATTAGGGCTGTTACGGTGACCGTATTACTGCCACAACGGTGGTCACGAGTCATAACGGCAGTCAAATTCCACGTGACCGTTTAGTCACGGTAATCAGGCTTCTCCAAGCTCTGATGCTGCTGATGGTCATTAGTAGCCTACCAAACTTGCTAACTGCCTGGTACTCAGCACTCTATTGTCCCTCTAATCACTCTGACATCAATGCAAATGTTTTCAAAAATCTAATCAAACACTTAATTAGAGCCCATGAGTTCATGTTGCGCAACATTTCTATTGGCTATCCAGAGTTTTGATGGCCTCAATTAAAAAGAGGAGGATCCCGTCAGCTTTCTATAGGCTAGGCCTACTACAGTGGGGGAAAAAAGTATTTAGTCAGCCACCAATTGTGCAAGTTCTCCCACTTAAAAAGATGAGAGAGGCCTGTAATTTTCATCATAGGTACACGTCAACTATGACAGACAAAATGAGAAAATTTTTTCCAGAAAATCACATTGTAGGATTTTTTATGAATTTATTTGCAAATTATGGTGGAAAATAAGTATTTGGTCAATAACAAAAGTTTCTCAATACTTTGTTATATACCCTTTGTTGGCAATGACACAGGTCAAACGTTTTCTGTAAGTCTTCACAAGGTTTTCACACACTGTTGCTGGTATTTTGGCCCATTCCTCCATGCAGATCTCCTCTAGAGCAGTGATGTTTTGGGGCTGTCGCTGGGCAACACGGACTTTCAACTCCCTCCAAAGATTTTCTATGGGGTTGAGATCTGGAGACTGGCTAGGCCACTCCAGGACCTTGAAATGCTTCTTACGAAGCCACTCCTTCGTTGCCTGGGCGGTGTGTTTGGGATCATTGTCATGCTGAAAGACCCAGCCACGTTTCATCTTCAATGCCCTTGCTGATGGAAGGAGGTTTTCACTCAAAATCTCACGATACATGGCCCCATTCATTCTTTCCTTTACACGGATCAGTCGTCCTGGTCCCTTTGCAGAAAAACAGCCCCAAAGTATGATGTTTCCACCCCCATGCTTCACAGTAGGTATGGTGTTCTTTGGATGCAACTCAGCATTCTTTGTCCTCCAAACACGACGAGTTGAGTTTTTACCAAAAAGTTATATTTTGGTTTCATCTGACCATATGACATTCTCCCAATCCTCTTCTGGATCATCCAAATGCACTCTAGCAAACTTCAGACGGGCCTGGACATGTACTGGCTTAAGCAGGGGGACATGTCTGGCACTGCAGGATTTGAGTCCCTGGCGGCGTAGTGTGTTACTGATGGTAGGCTTTGTTACTTTGGTCCCAGCTCTCTGCAGGTCATTCACTAGGTCCCCCCGTGTGGTTCTGGGATTTTTGCTCACCGTTCTTGTGATCATTTTGACCCCACGGGGTGAGATCTTGCGTGGAGCGCCAGATCGAGGGAGATTATCAGTGGTCTTGTATGTCTTCCATTTCCTAATAATTGCTCCCACAGTTGATTTCTTCAAACCAAGCTGCTTACCTATTGCAGATTCAGTCTTCCCAGCCTGGTGCAGGTCTACAATTTTGTTTCTGGTGTCCTTTGACAGCTCTTTGGTCTTGGCCATAGTGGAGTTTGGAGTGTGACTGTTTGAGGTTGTGGACAGGTGTCTTTTATACTGATAACAAGTTCAAACAGGTGCCATTAATACAGGTAACGAGTGGAGGACAGAGGAGCCTCTTAAAGAAGAAGTTACAGGTCTGTGAGAGCCAGAAATGTTGCTTGTTTGTAGGTGACCAAATACTTATTTTCCACCATAATTTGCAAATAAATTCATAAAAAATCCTACAATGTGATTTTCTGGATTTTTTTTCTCAATTTGTCTGTCATAGTTGACGTGTACCTATTATGAAAATTACAGGCCTCTCTCATCTTTTTAAGTGGGAGAACTTGCACAATTGGTGGCTGACTAAATACTTTTTTCCCCCACTGTATATTTATTTTTCAACTTTCCTAATATTAAGCACATTGCTTCTCTTTACAACAGGAGTATAGCCTACCTGGCTGGCATGAAGTGAACCATGGCAAAAGCCTTCTCCATTCGCTATTTAAGTGCATAGATGACATGTATTTTTTCCCCCTGCCCCTGTTTCGAGACAGGTGCATGATAACGGTCCATTCTAAATCAAAACAAATGTCACACATATATTATTTAGTATATGTAAAGACAAGATTAAATCAAGAATAGTCTGATGGGTGACAATATTAGCTTATCACTTGTGAATGATATATTATCACTTGTGAATGATGCCCAGCTTGTGTGCAGTAAGGCCAGAAACAGCACATGCCTCATGTAGCCTAGCCCATAGGCCTATATGTTTTGATAAGGTTTATATCACAACTAAACAGGCCAAATAACATCTTAAAATTAAGCACATTAATCAGCTTTACAAGGGGTGTAGAGCCTAACTGGCATACATACACAGTGCATGAGTTTAACGTTTGGGGAAGATCATTTTCACCATAAAAATGCAATTTTTTAATAAAAGCATTACATGCATAATCGGATATGCGGTCACTTTTGAGAATGGTGTTTTCCCACTAACTGATTGCATTTTGGAACATTCACGCTTATAGCCTACTGCCGTGTGCGCATAATGTGAAGAAATACCCTAATAGTTTAGCAACATTTTAAGCTAAATGTTCTGATCTGTTGCGTCAGCCTAATTGCTTTTAAAAGTATTTTTGATGCTATGTGGTTATATTAATTTGGGATCTATCGCATCCCACAACTGTCCCAGACTATATTTGGAATATTTATTTCTCGCACAGAATAGAATAGGTCAACTTTTGTACTATGGGGGATAGTATATTGACATAGGCTAGTGCTTTTGCTGTTCGTTAGGCTTACTCATCTTGTTGGCTGATGAAAAGTAAATGTGGACAGTTCTAACATACTCAATATGCGCCTCGGAATTCGATAAGGACGCGCGCATTTGTGTCCCCAATGTGTCTGTCTTCACTTGTAGCCTGTGAGAAGGACCCGATCACGTGACGGGCATTGGTTAATAAGAATTGAGCTATCTAAGAGAGCCATGTGCGTGAGAGGTGCTTCGGAGCACTCAGCCAGGAGAAAGGGATTATAATTATTATATTCAGCCCAAGGGCACAATGGCCACTGGCCTCAAAAGGCATGGATTTGTTTTAGGGGTCATTATGGCCACACAAAGGGGATGCCACTGGGAAATTCAAGGCATTATCAAGTGCTTGTCAAATTGTGAATGAGAGACTGATGAAGTGTGTGCAGCCTGTGCAAAAAACAAAGCAGAGCTCATGCCTTTCAAGCAACTTTTTTCAAATCATCATTAGAGTCGCATCATGCAGCCTTAGAATGTATTAAAAATTAAAAAATATAGCCCAACGTTTGTATCACAACTAAAGTTGCATAAATAACTCTAAATTAAGCATATAGGAGGACCTGTTTCTTTGTTAACCCCTCAACACAGAATAGCTGCATGTGCGCACTCCCTCAAATTTTATTCAGCTATGTTCAATTGTTTTCTTCATACTATAAAATAATGCCACAGAATTCTAAGCAAATCTTGTCTGTTAAATGAACTAGTGTAGCCCACAGCCATATCAGGGCCTAACATTTACATTTTAGTAATTTAGCAGACACTCTTATCCAGAGCGACTTACAGTAGTGAGTGCATACATTTTTCATACTGGCCCCCCGTGGGAAACGAACCCACAACCCTGGCGTTGCAAGTGCCATGCTCTACCAACTGAGCTACACAGGACTACATCAGAGTAAAGACAACTCAGAGTATGCTATTCTGTTCTTCTGAAATAGACTACATTTTCTTCATATCATGTTTCTTTAGACCTGTCTAAAATAAATAATGGATTTATTGTGATGGTGTAGGCTATATTACATGGATTTATTAGACATTTTAAAATGTAGATGTTCCAAAGGTCTGCATCAGTGACTTGTAGGCTATGTGTGGAAGCCAGGAGATGCTAAATGTGTTTATGTTAATTAACGGTCAATTACCGTGAGACCAGCAGTTATTTGCTTGACCAATCACTGGCTGACAACATTCCATGACCGCCACAGCCCTAACCATTCCTGACAACATTCCATGACCGCCACAGCCCTAACCATTCCTGACAACATTCCATGACCGCCACAGCCCTAACCATTCCTGACAACATTCCATGACCGCCACAGCCCTAACCATTCCTGACAACATTCCATGACCGCCACAGCCCTAACCATTCCTGACAACATTCCATGACCGCCACAGCCCTAACCAATCCTGATAAAGACTAAAAGGCCCAAAAGCTCCTATTTCAATTTCTTTCAAGAGTGGGTGAATATCATTCACATATCCATAATGACATCTCCTAAACCAAACCGACAATTAATAAAAATCAAGTCAACACCTTCAATACGGGACTCACAGCAGTGTAAATCAATCAACAAACTTCTGAAAATGAACTGATTCTGTATCGGTAATCTCTCTCTCTCTCTCCTCTCTCCTCTCTTCTCTCTCTCCGTCTCTCTCTCTTCCTCTCCACGTCTCTCTCTCTCTCTCTCTCTCTCTCTCCTCTCCTCTCTCTCTCTCTCCTCTCTCCTCTCTCTCTCCTCTCCTCTCTCCTCTCTCTCTCTCTTTCCCCTCTCCCTCTCTTTCTCTCTTCCCCTCTCTCCTCTCTCTCGTCCCGCTCTGCTCTCCTCATCCCTTCCTTTCCTTCCTTCCTTTCCGTTCCTTCCTTCCTTCCTTCCGTCCTCCTTCCTTTCCTTCCTTCCTTCCTTCCTTTCTTCCTTCCTTCCTTCCTTCTCCCTCCCACCCGCCCTCCCTCCCCCCCCTCCCTCCCGCCCTCCCGCCCTGCCTCCCACCCTTCCTTCCTTCCCTCCTTCTTCCTCCTTCCTTCTTCCCTCCTTCTTCCTTCTTCCTTTCCTTCCTTCCTTCCTTCCTTCCTTCCTTCCTTCCTTCCTCCCTCCCTCTCTTAGAGTACCCACTGCCGTACCAGGCAGAGTTCTACATAAAGAACATGAATGTGGAGGAGATGTTGGCAAGCGAGGTTCTGGGAGACTTTCTGGGGGCAGTGAAGAACGTGTGGCAGCCCGAACGCCTCAACGCCATCAACATCACCTCAGCCCTGGACAGGGGCGGACGCGTTCCCCTGCCCATAAACAACCTCAAAGAGGGGTGAGGGTGTAGAAATAGAATTAGAATTAGAAACACATATCGCTATGGGTGAGAGTGACCCTCTTTAGCGCAGTTCAATACAGGGTTTAGCAGAGTATGAGGATGAATTTACATATCAACATCACCCGACCCTGGACAGGGGTGGACGCGTTCCCCTGCCCATCAACAACCTCAGAGGGGTGAGGGACAGGATCACCCTCTGCAGCCCTTACAGGACCAGAGCAGTTTGATACATAGTTTGATAGAGGATGATGACTTCAAGTATCTTTTGTTGAAAGAGGATGATGAATTCAAGTATCTTTAGTTGATAGAGGATGATGCATTCAAATATCTTCAGTTGAAAGAGGATGATGAATTCAAGTATCTTCAGTTGAAAGAGGATGATGAATTCAAGTATCTTCAGTTGAAAGCGGACGATGACTTCAAGTACAGTATCTTCAGCCCTTACAGAAACAAGAGAGAGGTTGATGACGAATTTAAATATTGCTTGATAGATGTAAGACATAACAGGATGGTTTGTTACCTAAATATTCATCCTCAGAAAGTACTATAGCAGCTTTGTAATGCCTTGTCTACAGTCATTATCAAAGTGTTGTATTTTGAATATGCACGTTCATAACATTTTCTTGCATCAGTTTCAACACAAACATGTACTTAAATATGCTTATGTAATGCATGGGTAACCTTACTGTAACCTTACCACTTTAAAAACTCCCATCCGTTCTGCTCACTGTACAGCCTGTCTCACTGTCGCATCGTGCTGAGGTTTCCTTTAATTGGAACAGAGAGAGAGTGTGTGTGAGAGAGAAGGAGAGAGAGAGAGAGAGAGAGGGAGAGTGAGAGAGGGAAGAGGGAGAGAAGGGTAGAGAGAGAGAGTAACACCGGAGGCAGACGAGAGGAGATAGAGAGAGAGAGAGAGCGGTGCTTACCCTTATTCTACGAAGCATGCCCAAAAATTCTTTCTCATCTCAGATTCTGAATCAAACAAGCACCGCCATCTCTACTTTCTGTTCCGGGTCTCCTCGTTTCCCCCTTTCTCTCCCTCCGCCCCTTTTTGTCGTCCCTTCTTTTGGCCGTTCGACGGTTAATGGTTTTTAGCCCCTTAACTAGTTGGGTTTTACCTCCCCCGGGGGAAGGGAAAAAAATTTTTTCCCCCCCTAAAGAGGTGAGTCAAAACCCGGGTTTAGGAGAGATTTAAAAGAAAAAGGGGAGGGTTAAATTTTTTTTTGGGAGGGGTTTTTAAATTTTATAAGGGACAAACCTAAGTAAGAAGGGGAAAAAAAAAGAAGTTGATGAGTATGTGCCCCTTAAGGTTAAACGGCGTTTTACGTAATTTCCCTTACCCGAAAAGAAAGGAAGCTTTCTCCCCCTTTTACCAGTTTTTGGGTTTTAACGAAAAGTTTAAAAACCCCCGATTAAATTTTATAGGCTTGATCCTTGACTTTTTAAAGAGATGTAATCCCATCTTTAGTGATAGGAACCTTTCAAATATCTTAGTTAAGGATGAGACAATCTTATGAAGAGGATAAAATATCCTTGACAAGCGGGACAAGTCAGTTCTAGGACCTAGAAATAGGGGGAGACGATTGATATGCTGAAGATGTAGATACGGAAGGTTGCCAATATTTCCCAGAAGATACCTTGTATCCCGTCTATCATAGAAAGTGTTATTTATCGTCCTTCAACTTTTCCTGCATCGTTCCCAAAAATTTTAATTCTTAGTAATGCTGGGTACCTACGGGTATTTAAAAGAAACGCAAAGTTGCTAGACGCATCAGGAATTGGAGATTTCAATGGACAGAGAGAGAGTGGTTAGAAGGAGGAGAGAGACAAGAGGGAAAAGGGGGGGATAGGAGAGATGAGGAATGAGAAAAGTAATGAGGGCAGAGTCCTGAGAGAAGAAGAGAAGGCAGGAGACGGAAAGGATCCAGCTGTGAGAAGGATAGCTGCGGTGAAGACACGTCCCGAGAGACGGAGTAGAACGAGGTCAGGCTCGATCGATCGGAAGGGGGAGGGCCGCCCCGGGGCCCCGGGAGGAAAAGGGGAAAAAGGGAGCGGGAAGGAAACCCCAAAGGCTAAGGGGGGAGAAGAGGAGGATGAGGAGAAAGGGGAGGAAGGGAAATTAACGGCCAAGAGGACCTCCACTTGGTTTTTGATTAGCCTTCAGGGACATAGAAGGTAGCCCCCGAAAGAATCCCAAGGTTAATTTTTTAAATCTGCTGGCCCCCCGTTTGGGAAGATAAAAGGTTCCAGAGGAGAGCCCTATAGAAAGACGCAGCCAGCAGGGCTAAGATACCCTGACAGTACAGTATCAGGAACCTCTCCATGCTGACTTAGACAGGAGGAGGAAAACACTATGTGGTTCACATTGGAAGTCAGTCTGAGTGGAATTGTGAAAGTGTGTGTGAGTGGTTAAATCTTCCTCTCCTTTACCTCTAATGTGCTTGCGTGTTTGTGTGTAGATAAAGGAGGTGTTAAAATCCTTCCTCCCCAGTGTGTGTGTGTGTGTCTGCACGTGCGTGTGCACGTGTGAGTGTGCATGCACTGTACATCTACATCTTGGCCTTAAGACTCCCCTAGTCATAACAATTATATCAGATATACCACTAACTGTCTGTCTGTCATTATACCTGTATTATCAGATATACCACTAACTGTCTGTCTGTCATACCTTACCTGCACACAACAGGTAATAATAGCTGGAATGGAGTAAATGGAATGGTATCAAACACATGGAAACCATGGAAACCACATTGTTGATGTGCTTGATACCATTTCATTCATTCTGTTCCAGCCATTACAATGAGCCTGTCCTCCCCAATTAAGGGGCCACCAGCCACCTGTATTATAAGCCACTGTCTACCTCCCTGCCTCCCTCTCCAGTGTGTATGTGATGGTGGGGGCAGACGTCCAGTTCTCTTCCTGCCTGCGGGAGGTGGAGAACCCCCACAACCAGCTCCGCTGCAGCCAGGAGATGGAGCCTGTCATCAGCTGTGACAAGAAGTTCAGAGCCCAGTTCGACATCGACTGGTGCAAGATCAATCTGGTGAGGACTGGACAGGACCCTGGAGCCATGGCTTGACCTCTTGACCTGTTCTCTGACCATGCCTTTAAAAAATTACAGGGTGTTTGTGTTTGTGTAGTGTCATATACACAAACTATGCCAAACAGCCAAACGATGTCAAACACGCGCGTGCGCGGACACACACACACACAAATTATGCCACATTTTGTTTTATAGATCTGTGATTCTGAGATGTTGTTGATTGTTGTTCACAAGCTATGTGCCTTTTTACCTCGACAGTAGCATAATGTATTTGGACAAGCCATTCCACAATCGTCATAAGAAAAAGTACATTTAGGTATATTTGAGCTTGTATTTGGCTGAAATCTGGAGGGAATAAGCAGGAAATCTGGGAATCCTCCAACCGGGATTTCTGGAAAACGTCAACATTTTGTGGAAATTACCAACATTTTGGGGAAATTACCAACATTTTGCCACCCTAATATCTATAGTAAATGAAGTGCTGATTGAACCTCTCTCTTCTCAAGGTGGACATCACCAAGGTGATCATGATCCACAGTAACCGTCCAGACCCAGGGACGGGGGTTCTGCCTGACATCGGGGAGTACAACCCCCCACCAGAGTCTCTGAAGAGCAGGGACTTCTTTGCTGACTTCCTCATCACGTTGGCGGTGCCCTCGGCCGTGGCCATGGTCCTCTTCAGCGTCCTAGGTTATTCCATGTGCTGCCGGCGGGAAGGGGTGTAAGTGTGCTGCTTTCACTTCTGACAGAAAGAGACACACACAGATTAAAACACACACACACACGCATACACTTTTCTTTTTAGTTGTCATGTAGGGGTTCTTAGATCCTGAGGGATTGACTGATTAGTCTGAGTGCAGTGTCACAGGCCCAGTCAGAGTTAAGGGATGTTTAGTTGTGGTACTTAGCCACTATAGATGGACGCCAAGAGGTTTACTATTCTGGAAACACAGCTTGTCAATGACCATCCAGTCTTATGGTCCATGTATGTTCTCCATACGTTACACTGTTCTGTCTCAGCTTTGATTTCTCATATTCATCTTGATGGTTATTAGCATAATCATTATGACATTGATGGTCAATCAACCATTATATTGCTACTCCAACCCTCATTTACAGGCTGGGAGAGACTGTGTCCCTCCACCCACCACTCAGTGTGTCCATGCAGTACTGTTTGTCCCTTCGCCCCTACCATTCATCCATCCATCCATCCAACACCACGTGCTCTCCATTCGCTTCTGTGTGGATGTCTTTTAAGTATTAATATTAGTATTTAATTCATAAATGTTGTTTTGTTTCTAGGGATAAAAGAAACATGCAAACAGCAGAGTAAGTGTTTACCCTCTCCTGTGTTTTTATTTTCTTTTGAGTTTGGTCTGTTTTGGTTCCTCTTAGTTTAGATCCCCCCTTCAATTAATTTGCCCTTTCACCTTTTGCTTTCGAATCGCCATGGTGACATCCTCATGTCCATCCATACTGTCATCTGTGTGTTTACATCCCGTCATACAATGAGCTGCTCAAAGCTGCAGGGAGCTGTTAGAATGGAAGTTGACCTTAACCGCACATCCAGGGTCAGATAATGGTGGAGGATTGGGGGATACAGTAACCTTATCCTACATCTGTGGTTAAGGAAAATGTATATAGTTCTGTAGCTGAAACAGAAATATCAGACCAGTGTTGTTTACAGAGACAGAGAGCGGGGGGAGACAGAGAACGGGGGAGAAAGAGACAAAGAGAGGTAGAGGGGGAGAGAGAGAGAGAGGGAGAGAGAGGGAGGGGGGGAGGGAGAGGGGGAGGGAGGGGGGAGACAGAGAGAGGGGGAGAGAGGGAGAGGGGGAGGAGAGAGAGGGAGAGGGGGGGAGAGGGACAGAGAGAGGGAGGGGGAGACAGAGAGAGGGGGGAGAGAGAGACAGAGTGGGAGAGACAAAGACAGAGAGTGGGAGAGAGGGGAGAGACAGAGAGAGGGGGGAGAGAGAGACAGAGAGAGAAAGGGAGAAGGGGGAGACAGAGAGGGAGAAGGGGGAGACAGAGACAGAGAGAGGGGAGAGGGGGAAGAGACAGAGAGCGAAATGGGGAGAGAGGGAGAGCGCGAAAGGAGGAGAGACAGAGAGGGAGAGAGAGACATAGATAGGGAGGGGGGAGAGAGAGAGGGGGGAGGGAGAGAGACAGAGGTAGGGAGGGGGGGCGAGAGAGGGGGGAGGGAGGGGGAGAGAGAAACAGAGAGGGGGGAGAGAGAGACAGTGATAGGGGGAGACAGAGAGGGGGAGAGACAGAGGGAGAGAGGGGGAGATAGAGGGAGAGGGGGGAGAGAGAGAGACAGGGAGTGGGGAGAGAGAGAGAGGGGGAGGGGAGGGAGAGAGGAAAGAGAGAAACAGCTAGTATGACAGCATGAGAGGGAGTGGAGAAATACTCTCAAACAAACTCCACTAGCTTCAGCAGATGGCAAATGACCAACAGTAACAACAAAACTGTTTCCTCCTGTCAAAGAGAAACACTCCTTATGCTTTTGGTCTACAAAGTCTTTCTTATATTATAATGTATACCTTAATGCATGTGTGTACAGTACACTACAGTGTGCGTGTTGACTGCGATGTTAGGGATACAACGATGTTAGGGATACAATGAGTATCTACTTCCCCAGAGTCAGATGAACTCATGGATACCATTTTTATGTCTATGTGTCCAGTATGAAGAAAGTTAGGGGTAGTTTTGCGAGTCAATGCTAACTAGCGTTAGTGCAAAGACTGGAAGTCTATGGGTGTCTACCTCATGCTAGCAGATACCCATAGACTTCCAGTCTTTGCAGTAATGCTAGTTAGCATTGGCTTGTGAAATTACCTCTAACTTCCTTCATACTAGACACAGAGACATACAAATGGTATCCATGAGTTAATCTGAATGCCGAAGTACCCCTTTAAGACTTAAGATCTATTTATGTATTATTTATTTATTTATTTTATATCGGTCTCTGTCCTCTCCTCAGTATCCAGTTAGTGCATCACAGCTCCATCCAGAAGTCGACCAAGGAGCTGCGGAGCATGTCTAAAAACAGGGAGATCTCCTGGCCCCTTTCCACCCTGCCTGTCTTCAGCCAAAGTGGGGAGGTGGTGCCCCCCATACACCCAGACAACTACGAGACAACCAGCATGCCCCTGATGCAGACACAGACGTGAGTCCTGGCTGAGTGGCTGGGGTGTCCAAACACACTAAGTGGGTTGGGCGTCCAAACACACTGAGTGGCTGGGGTGTCCAAACACACTGAGTGGCTGGGGTGTCCAAACACACTGAGAGGCTGGGGTGTCCAAACCCACTGAGTGGCTGGAGTGTCCAAACACACTGAGTGGCTGGGGTGTCCAAACACACTGAGTGGCTGGAGTGTCCAAACACACTGAGTGGCTGGGGTGTCCAAACACACTGAGAGGCTGGAGTGTCCAAACACACTGAGTGGCTGGAGTGTCCAAACACACTGAGTGGCTGGGGTGTCCAAACACACTGAGAGGCTGGGGTGTCCAGACACACTGAGAGGCTGGAGTGTCCAAATACACTGAGTGGCTGGGGTGTCCAAACACACTGAGTGGCTGGGGTGTCCAAACACACTGAGAGGCTGGGGTGTCCAAACCCACTGAGTGGCTGGAGTGTCCAAACACACTGAGTGGCTGGGGTGTCCAAACACACTGAGAGGCTGGAGTGTCCAAACACACTGAGTGGCTGGAGTGTCCAAACACACTGAGTGGCTGGGGTGTCCAAACACACTGAGAGGCTGGGGTGTCCAGACACACTGAGAGGCTGGAGTGTCCAAATACACTGAGTGGCTGGAGTGTCCAAACACACTGAGAGGCTGGGGTGTCCAGACACACTGAGAGGCTGGGGTGTCCAGACACACTGAGAGGCTGGGGTGTCCAAACACACTGAGAGGCTGGGGTGTCCAAACACACTGAGAGGCTGGGGTGTCCAGACACACTGAGAGGCTGGGGTGTCCAAACACACTGGGAGGCTGGGGTGTCCAGACACACTGAGAGGCTGGGGTGTCCAAACACACTGAGTGGCTGGGGTGTCCAAACATACTGAGAGGCTGGAGTGTCCAAATACACTGAGAGGCTGGGGTGTCCAAACACACTGAGAGGCTGGGGTGTCCAAATACACTGAGAGGCTGGGGTGTCCAAACACACTGAGAGGCTGGAGTGTCCAAACACACTGAGAGGCTGGGGTGTCCAGACACACTGAGAGGCTGGGGTGTCCAGACACACTGAGAGGCTGGGGTGTCCAAACACACTGAGTGGCTGGAGTGTCCAAACACACTGAGTGGCTGGGGTGTCCAAACACACACATGCAGGGAAACATGTAGAAATACCCACATACAAGGACAGATACACACATTCTATTTTCTCCTTACACCTCTCTCTCTCACACACACACACACAATACACGTACGCACACACACACACACAAGCACAATGTTGTCCTAATACAGTACGTACTGAGCTAAACCATGTTTACAACCAGCATAGTGAGACTTTTGTCAAAGCGCTCAGATTAACACTGGTTTAAACTCTAAATGGTAAATCTGTCATATGATTTCTAGTATGGCATGGCTTGGAGCTCAGGAAAACCAGAGCAAGGGGGTCCTGTTAATAGTTTCAAGTAAAAATGCTTTCCCATGATAATTATAGAAGGCACATTCTATAACATTGCTATAAATGCTATACAAATGCTCTTATAATCTGTTCTCTAATTTCAGAAACCTGCAGAACCAGATTCAGATACCACAGCAACAGCCATCAGGTTAGTATTGAGTCCTGCTTGAGTATGATTGGTCTAATATCTCATGGACCAATGAAAATGTATGAGATAAAGCCCTCACTTAGTAACATGACAACCTTGGACATAGATTAATCATAGTCATCCTCAATCATCTAACCTATCACATTTTAGATGAAATAACATGGAGGCTCAGTTCTGATAACATAGTTAATGCTGACTGTAATAGTTATTTCCTGATTTTTCCTTTTTATTCACCTCAACCAAATACATTCTTCCACCCACCTGCTGTTTTGTAGTGACTGTCTAACTAGACTGTGGCTCCCCCTTGTGTGCATGTCAATGCACTGCAAGAGGGCCCTCTATCTAACTAACTGCTCTAAATCACTGCTTTGTCTAACTAACTACTCTGTCTAAATCACTGCTCTGTCTAAATCACTGCTCTCTTTAAATCGCTGCTCTGTCTAAATCACTGCTCTGTATAAATCACTGCTCTGTCTAAATTACTGCTCTGTTTTACTAACTGCTCTGTCTAAATCACTGCTCTGTCTGTTATTTTTACTGCTAACAAAGGAGATAGAGATAATTATTGTATGTCGACATTTCGGAGACTGGAGGCAAGTATACTGGTTTGATGTTGTTGTTTAAATGAATCATTCTCAACTATAGGAGATAATATGTTATTTTGCACTTAATATAACAGTAGTAAACTAGTTGAAAAGGAGAAGGCGCAACGCTACGCTCGCTCACCATTAAAAACATCTTATTTTATTTAAACAACTATTATGAGTTGGACATTTTGGCATTCACTCAATGATGATCAAATTTTTTGGGTTGCACCTCGACTCACGTTGGTTGAGGGCCCTCCTCATCTTTCCACAGTAGTAAACTAGTTACAATGTAGTGACAATATTCCCTCTCAGAACCTGTAAACAATCTATATTTTCATTATATCCCAATAAATTATATTATGCAATGTATTTTATTCTCCATTCTAGGTAAATGGTATTCCTGAGGAGAGGAAAGTGGCTGAAGCTGTGAATTTGTGACGAGAGAGAAACCCCAGAGTGCTGGAGCTGCTTTCTGTCTGGGTGTGTCCCTTTTAGCCAAGTGTTTTTCTATGTCTACATCCCAAATAGCAACCTATTTCCTATATAGTGCACACTTCTGACCAGGGCCCATAGGGTAGTGCACTATGTACGGAATAGGGTGCCATTTGGGACGTACACTACGTCTGTGCCAATTTGCATGCCCCACCAGTGCTTTCATACTCAACGCTATTGTCTTTCCATGTGCACTTATGTATGTGAGCGAGTGTTGCAGAGTACAGTAGACTCCTGATAAGTGCACTTAGTATTAGTGCAAGCTCTGTTGAAGTGTAATATTTTTTTCAGTCCCAATTCATTGATCTTTTTAACCATGTGCTCTTTAGGGCAGCAAGTAACCTAGCGGTTAGAGCATTGGGTCAGTAACTGAAAAGTTGCTGGTCCGAATACCTGAGCTGACAAGGTGAAAAATCTGTTGATGTGCCTGTGAATAAGGCACTGAACCATAATTTATAATACATATTTTTGTGTGCACACTTTCACCACAATCCCAAGCAGTTGCATTTATCAGTAGTCGGCTGTACGTGTTTAAGTGTATGAATGTGTGTATACAAGCTTAATAGTGAATATTAAAATTGATATTTTTTGAATATTTTGTTCTAGAAATGATATGGCATTAACGATATATTTGTATTTTTACTGGCCTTGCACTCTTTAGAGGGACAGAGAGATGCTTTTATGTTTCATGTCTGATCATGTATGTGTAACTGTTCTGTCACATCATAACAGTAAAAATACATTTTGTTTACATTTTCTGTTTGGTGTCAATTGTGTTTCAACGGCTGCAACTGTAACACCAGGCCCCCAGCACAAATATTATAGTCATCTGTGGCAGGTCAGGAGGGCCCACTCTTTGTCTTTCTCCAGCTTGTGTTAAATGAGCTACTTCCTTAGTCCTCTTCGTCCCGGCTGGGACATAAGGCAGTAACTATCTTCTGCCACTGGAGTCTGTCTTTGGCCACAGCTTGTGTCCTGTTCTATGAGATACCCATCTCTTCCAGCTCAGCCACCACTGTCCTGTTCTAAGAAATACCCATCTCTTCTAGCTCAGCCACCACTGTCCTGTTCTAAGAGAGACCCATCTCTTCTAGCTCAGCCACCACTGTCCTGTTCTAAGAAAGACCCATCTCTTCCAGCTCAGCCACCACTGTCCTGTTCTAAGAAAGACCCATCTCTTCTAGCTCAGCCACCACTGTCCTGTTCTAAGAAAGACCCATCTCTTCCAGCTCAGCCACCACTGTCCTGTTCTAAGAAAGACCCATCTCTTCTAGCTCAGCCACCACTGTCCTGTTCTATGAGAGACCCATCTCTTCCAGCTCAGCCACCACTGTCCTGTTCTAAGAAAGACCCATCTCTTCTAGCTCAGCCACCACTGTCCTGTTCTAAGAGAGACCCATCTCTTCTAGCTCAGCCACCACTGTCCTTGTTCTAAGAAAGACCCATCTCTTCCAGCTCAGCCACCACTGTCCTGTTCTAAGAAAGACCCATCTCTTCCAGCTCAGCCACCACTGTCCTGTTCTAAGAAAGACCCATCTCTTCTAGCTCAGCCACCACTGTCCGTTGCTATGGCGTTTTTAGTCTGCCTCGCTTGCACTTTCTTTCTGGTGTCCACCTGTGGGCAACTTCAGTAGTGTTAACATAAAGACCAAAACGAAACATTCTGGGCCGGTTTCCCGGACACAGATTAAGCCTAGTCCTGGACTGAAAAGCACTTACAATCAAGAATCTCCTTTGACCATGCTTTTTAGTCCAGGACTAGGCTTAATCTGTGTCAGGGAAACTGGCCCTCACGGTTTTGACAAGGAAGGGACAAAGAAGTCAGACAAGATTTTTTATGAAGGTTTGTATTATTGACAATGTCCAACAGAATAAAGGCATTTATAAATAAATGGGTACATTTCACATTTTTAAGATATCACAAAATTATTTACATAAAACTTATCTATACTTCTCTGGGTATACATACTTGTTGCTTCTTTTAATTTGACCAAAACTAATTTAAAACAGAAAAATCTCAAATTGTGAATAACATACTTTAAATCAAGATAGACAATTGTTTGCCTGTATCTATTTTTCTGAAATGGAAACAGGTTGACAGAACAAAATTCAGAATAATTGCCGTCCATTTACAGTCGGACCCTTTTTGTCAACCTCCTTGATCAATCAATTAAATAATCAAAATGTGTAATGTTTTGACTTTCAAGCAAATAGATAAACAGTCAGTGTCCCAAATGGCACCCTATTCCCTACAAAGTGCACTACTTTTGATCAGAGCCCTATGGGCCCGGTTCAAAAGTTGTGCACTACATAGAGAATAGGGTGCACAATACAGTCTTCTGAACAGCCCTCAGTGACAAGACCTGTCAGACCAATCTATGGTATTGATTTCACTTGATTGAGAAGCTACATGATTCAACAGTGTACACCCCAGTCCGTTACCTTTCCACGGCACAGAAAATACAGATAAAATTCATATGCGATTAAACTAAAATAATTAACTAATTAGCAGTCTTCTTAATGTACACTTACAATATTTGCAAAGTTGCCTTAACATCCAGCTTTAAGCAGTTGATTTACACATTGTGAAGGGTGTTGAATAATGGGCACTATAACCAATGGATCAAAGTTGTATCAAAACGATTCAACAACTGGATATGAAGCGATTTAGTGTTTCTTTAAATCCGTACGATTTTGGCCGTTGTATTTAGGCTACCTTCAAGGTGAGGTACAAAATGGATGAAGTAGCAGATATACTAAAATCTCTGTTTACTATGCCATTTTAAAGAAAACAAACCTTCCTTTGTAAAAACCTTACATTGCAGAATTGGAAAATACACGCAAAGAACTCATGGGTTTGCCAAGTTGGCTGAAAGAAGGCTTAACTGTTGGTGTATATTGTCCATCTGTAGGTAAATGACAGGCTCAACATGAAGTACTGCTTTTTATTCTTTAGCAATACTTTCCATTCACTCCCCTTTTTTAAAATACATCATGAAGTATCACGACCAGGGATGGAAATTAAGCTAGCCCCGATGCTAGTACTTTTCAGTCTGGGCTAGTAGAAAATGTGCTTAACTAGCCCGGCGGCGAGTTAAATTTTGTCTTTTACAATATAACACTGCACAGAATACCAACCGGGCTGGTAGAAATTCCTGTCTACTAGCCCGGCTGGCCACCGCCCAAAATCCTTAAATTTCATCCTTGATCACGACGTGTCAGATTTCAATGCAAACTTGGCACTGATGCCGTGTGGCAACTGAAGAGAAAACTGTAGTGAGTAGAAGGCATTCAGTCAGGTGCAGAATTCATCCATCCATCATTCATCCATCCATCGATCCACTCATCCATTAGCAGTGGCTTCGCTATAGTGGTAGCTAATGTTGCACATGAAAGTATGCTTTGACAGATGTCCTACCATGGTATGGTAGATATATGTACAAAGCAGTGCATGTTCTATTGTAGCTCTGAAAAGCCTGGTTTAAGATGACTAACGAACAGCACAGAACATCCTACACTTCTCCTTTGACATACCAGTATAAATTGGTGAAACAACTGAACCTGCACAAACGTGCACACACACATGCACACATACACAGACACAAGAGTGGTTGTTTACCCTCGATAGGATATGACTGTAAGTCGCTTTGGATAAAAGCGTCTGCTAAATGGCATATTATTATTATTATTATTATTATTATTATACGCTCGTGTCAGACCCAGAATGCAACAGGATTCTGCAATGAAAATTCATTAGTGCATCTTCTGCCTGGCCTGACCGTGGTCTTTGAGGTGGTGAGAAAATAAACTAAAAACACCTACGCAATACTTCATTCACAAACAAACAGCAGTCATGGACACACACACACATACACACAACATCAAATGGAAAAACAAAACAAGCAACAACAAAAAAAATAACTGTATAAAATATAAGCTTAATTTAAATAATTAAATACTGTGCATAAAACATAGATTTCAGAGCTAGGTGACTGCTGACCTCACCTTTAAGCACAAGGCAAACATTATTTGTTTCTACCTGTGTGTCCCAAATGGTACCCTACTCTATATAGTGCACTGCTTTAGACCAGAGCCCAGTCAAAACTAGTGCACTGCATAGCGAGCCATTTGGGACACCATTAGTTTAAAATCCACACATCATCGAACCCACCATTACCCCCGACCCTCCATCCCCGCCTCACCCTTCTTTTGTAAACGTCTATAGTATGGAGTCAGAACCTTACTCATGTGCTGTTCAGTGAGGTGTGTGGGCCCAAGTTGGGACCTCGTCCTCTTCAGTGTACGACTTTCACCCCAGTACTCAGAGCAGAGCAGTCAAGAGAGACAGACAGCAGTGCCATATCCTTAACATGGTCTGTGTCTGTTCACCTCCGTTGTATTCATTGATGCAAACCGTAGCAAAAGGTTTAAAAAGGAACACAACAGGACGTCCCTTCATCCATCAGTACATTTTCTTCCGTTTTGTGCCAAATGAATTCGACCCTGGGGGCATGGAAGACTAACCAGTCAGTCAGACTCATTAGTCTAGAAATCAGTCTACCTCTCCCCCACTGTGGTACCCCCCCTCCCCACCTCAGTGGCCTTCTCCCTGGTTCCCTTCAGCGCTCCTGGACGTCAGAAGTAGACCCAGGGTGAAGACCCCGGCGGCCAGCAGCCTCTTGAGCAGGGCACCCCCGTCCTTGGGAATGGCCACCTGGGCCAGGTCGTTGGTGATCAGGGAGATCTCATGGGCCACGCACACAAAGATGAAGGTGCTGAGGATGATGTTGAGCGAGGGGTTGCCTGGGATCAGCACCAGGATGCCCTTGGTGTCCGCCGCCAGCCAGATGTGGTACTGGCAGATGAACAGCTTCGGGGTCGGAGAGAGAGAGGCAAAGGGAGGGAGTTTTATGAGGTCAATGCAATAAACAAAATTCACAAGTATCATACAGAGATACAGAAATTCTGCTGATGAACAGTGAGTGCAGCATCCCTGCCAGCGGCATCCATCTTACCTCTAGGGAGATCTTCCCGAACCATGCGAAGAATGAGCTGTATAAAGAGCGGGCGTATCCGGGAATGTTTCTGATTAGGATGAAGGCTAGGATCTGAGAGGAGGAGAAGAGAAAGATGTTCCAGCCAGTGAGTGTATGGCATGGACCAACTGTATTAAGGGGGTGGGGGGGTTTAAGCACATCCCAATGCTAACAGAGACTGGACCAAAAAGATGATCCAATACATAGAAACAAGAGAATGTCGGCTCACTGTTTCGTTTGGGAGCAGCAAAACACGTTTCTTTATTATTCTTTGGCTGAGCTACAGTAAAGTACACCCATCCTGTTATTGTAGAAGGCAACTAACGCCGTTGTCATTTTGTTCTACGTACTGTATATCACAGTGTTGTGTTTGAGACCACCTAAAGCGAGACCGAATCAAGACCAATACCGGAGCAAATCCAGTCCGAGTCAAGACCAATACCGGAGCAAATCCAGTCCAAGTCAAGACCGAGACCGGCAGGGCGGAGACCGAGTCAAGACCGAGACCGGGAGGGGGACAAGGGGTTCGAGACCGAGTCAAGACCGAGACCAGAAAAATGCGAGTCCAATTCAAGACCATGATTGTAATTTTTTCAAATCACCACCATAAAAGTTCAAAATGTCCAGTATTTCTGTGTTCATATTTCAGAACAACATATGGATTCTTTAGACATTCAAAATAATGAACAAATGCATGCTGAGGGAAAATAGAGCCACTCTACAAATTATTACTAACCCAAACACAGTGGGGAACAATGGGCCTTCTATCCCTTCAGAGAAGGGCTAAGGATTTATAAAATAATAATAATTATAATATTATTTTCAATGAAGTTCTGATTTAATCTCTTCAGTTTTTGTTGGAAAGGAAAGGGTTAACACTGAAGAGAAAAAAGTTCTAAAATCAGGATTTTTCTTTGCTGGTCTCTGGGAAGATAGATCTATCTAGCTAGCTAAGTCAGCCATTGGCTAGGCCATCAGAAGCTAGATAAAGGCATCTGCCATTCAACTGTATTAGGGCAACATTTTGGAGTGACAGTGGAATCAACCAATCACAGTGACTTAATGGGTGGGACTGTTTTTACAAAAACGTATGGAAACTTCTGCCTTCTTGAAGGCCAATAGGTCACTGAAAAACTAGCCGACAACAAACGCTAGCTAGCTAGACTGTGGGAAAACTACTGCTCTGTAGTGGCGAGCAGTAGTTTTCCCACGGTCTAACTAGCTAGCTTTTGTTGTCGGCTAGTTTTGCAGCGGCTGCAGCAGGTGTTATCAAATAGGATGTTGTTGCTAATTTGTTAGCTTCTCCCTTTTCAAGAATAACTTTCAACAAGAAGTTACGTTTCAAATTATCATCATCTGGTGAGTGGAACTGTGTTTGTTATTGCAGTGTGCTTGCTGCTGTTAGCCATCTCTTTGAAAATAACATGTGTGAAACATTGTTGCATTTAAAGTGGAACTGACAGCATTTTAGCAACATGAAATCTTATTAAAATCCGTTCATATACACCCCCCCGGAAGAATGACACTTTTTTAAACATTCTGACAAGCGACCACATTTTCATTAATTCTTAGAATGTTTGGGAATTATGTATCCTAAGGCATTTGTGAAAATTCTATAGCAATATAGAGTGTGAAAGTGTCCGTGCGTTTGGACAATTAATAGACACTGCAGTAAATAAAACCTAATAAAAACATCTGTCTTGTCCAGAACCGGAGTATATACAGACCGGTACGCTATAGCCAATCAGAGCTACAGTAGGCCTTTATATAAACAAGCCATTTTCCACACGCGCCTGCCATCATTCACTTTGAACTGGACTGTGTGTTTACAGGCAGTTGCAACAGCGTGACTTTAGATCATTAGAACACATTCGCCAAAAAATACACCTGAATGGATTTCTGCAAATATGTAAACACCACGGCAGTCCTCTTACATTTGGGAACTTTACAGTCCTATTGATCAAACAACCATGAAAATAATAAATAAATAGGTCATTTAGCAGACGCTCTTATCCAGAGCGACTTACAGGAGCAATTAGGGTTAAGTGCCTTGCTCAAGGGCACAGACAGATTTTTCACCTAGTCGGCTCGGGGATTAGAACCAGCGACCTTTCGGTTACTGGCACAACGCTCTTAACCACTAAGCTACCTGCCGCCCCGAAAAGGTAGGCTCCCTCAGTTATGCACATCAACAAGATCAACAACTAATGCTAGCCAGAGCAAGACGAGCTAAAATCTAACGAAGCAACATTAGATAAACCCTCTCAAACTTTTTCAGCTAGTTGGCCGTCAAAATTGCACTGATAAACGATGGGGAATTGTAGCCTCCTCGTCATGCTTGTCCCAACCAAGCACCCAAGCTAACTGGCAAGCTAGCTACTTCCAGACACATTCTTTTTTAAAATGTATTTCTTACTTCCGTTTATTTTAGTAAATACTTTAATAAGTATTTTTCTTAAAAACTATTGTTGGTTAAGGGCTTGTAAGTAAGCATTTCACTGTAAGGTCTACAACTGTTGTATTCGGCTCACAAATTACATTTGATTTGATTTGAAATGAGAGAACGCTGTTAGGCTGTTCACATGTTATCTAGAGCATTCTTGACTAACTATTACTTTTTTTGTCTACGTTTACTGACACGGTCATATTCAGCGGGTGTTGCGCGTTCATAAATTAAACAGTTATTCTGCGCTCTGGCACACTCAGACGAGAGTGCTCTGAAATCGGAGTAACCAGAGTGAAATTGCAAACGCAAGAGATATGCTAACTGGATAACAGTCGTTAAGGTTCTTGCTAGCTAACCAAATGACACCTGCATCTCTATCTGTGTATAGCCACCAAAAAACGATATGAGGGGAAAAAGTCAGTCACTCACCCATTCCTCCAATGGCATGACATCCTCCTACCAGCTAGCTAGCTAATGTTAGGCTCCGTGTTTTTAGCTTGCTACATAAATAGATACGCTAGCCTATTAGCCACATTATGACTGAATTGTAATCATTGCCCTTGCTAGTTTGATTGTATTGACATTCCCAGCCTTAGTTACATTTGTCAGTTTTTGTCCAGAATATTGAGTCATTGAAACTGCATCAGTGCATCCCAAATGGAGGTAGCAAACAATGTACAAGGCCAGCTGTGATTTACAACCTGATTGCAATCTTTTTTGGACTACCAAGAAATGTATTGGTGAAGTATATTAATCATGCATTAAACTGCATCTATCTATTCTGCCAACAATGCAGTGTACGTCATGGAATGTTGAGTCAAATAGAACCTATTTTTAAAACCTCTTATAAAGTTGGTTTTGTAGCATAAACTGGGAATTTGATATTTTTTTACTGATATTATGATTGTCTGTTTGTTTCATATCTGCAAAGTAGTTAGAATGCTGTCAGTTGCACTTTAAACTTTAGGTCACCAGTTACTTTGTGTGCTAAATGCGAAATATTTTTTGCAATGGGTAGTAATAGCTGTACATTTCGATTGGGAAATGCTTAATGGTTGTGTTTTTGTATTCTTAGGATTTGGACCTACTGGCTTATTATATCTGAGTTTATAGACTGCTTATCCTTTAACATCATGCTGTGTGTGACTGCTGTCTTTCCATTGGCCCTATCCAGTGGTGCAGTGGTGCCTGGAGAAGTGGGTATACTATAATTTTGCCAAAAAGTTCCCAAACGGCCCACCCAGCAAAGGAAAGGCCCTGTGTGAAAAATCTATGTTTTCTTATGTTCTGTTATGAGTTTTCCTATAGATTTTTCAGATTGTCACTGTCCAAATCACACCTTTTTAAAATATAAAAAATACAACAATTTGATGGTCTAAGTCCACAACAATGCTTAAAACCATATCAATTTGATTGTTGTATGTCTACGCCCCTGATGCAAACAGCGCATTATGACAATTGCGCATCACAAATAGCCTACTAACCAACACTTCGGACCAAACTTTTTAAATACCTGGTTTGCATACCCATTGTTGCCTTAGTTAGCATTTACTGGTAGATATCATAAGTTGAAATGTCTATCCTACCCTACATGCTACCGATGGCATTCTTCTGTGAGCTGCTCCATGCCAAAACCAGTCGAGAGCTGCCCACTCCTGCTGCCTGCAGATTATATTCCGCTGGAACTAGGCTGTGTGCGGCGCGCATGTGAATATATTTCACGTGCTTTGCGATTGTGTAGGCTACTTTGTGCATGATTTCTCTATTGTACTACATAATTGATAAGTCATACAGTGGGGGAAAAAAGTATTTAGTCAGCCACCAATTGTGCAAGTTCTCCCACTTAAAAAGATGAGAGAGGCCTGTAATTTTCATCATAGGTACACGTCAACTATGACAGACAAAATGAGATTTTTTTCTCTCCAGAAAATCACATTGTAGGATTTTAAATGAATTTATTTGCAAATTATGGTGGAAAATAAGTATTTGGTCAATAACAAAAGTTTCTCAATACTTTGTTATATACCCTTTGTTGGCAATGACACAGGTCAAACGTTTTCTGTAAGTCTTCACAAGGTTTTCACACACTGTTGCTGGTATTTTGGCCCATTCCTCCATGCATATCTCCTCTAGAGCAGTGATGTTTGGGGCTGTCGCTGGGCAACACGGACTTTCAACTCCCTCCAAAGATTTTCTATGGGGTTGAGATCTGGAGACTGGCTAGGCCACTCCAGGACCTTGAAATGCTTCTTACGAAGCCACTCCTTCATTGCCCGGGCGGTGTGTTTGGGATCATTGTCATGCTGAAAGACCCAGCCACGTTTCATCTTCAATGCCCTTGCTGATGGAAGGAGGTTTTCACTCAAAATCTCACGATACATGGCCCCATTCATTCTTTCCTTTACACGGATCAGTCGTCCTGGTCCCTTTGCAGAATAACAGCCCCAAAGCATGAAGTTTCCATCCCCATGCTTCACAGTAGGTATGGTGTTCTTTGGATGCAACTCAGCATTCTTTGTCCTCCAAACACGACGAGTTGAGTTTTTACCAAAAAGTTCTATTTTGGTTTCATCTGACCATATGACATTCTCCCAATCCTCTTCTGGATCATCCAAATGCACTCTAGAAAACTTCAGACGGGCCTGGACATGTACTGGCTTAAGCAGGGGGACACGTCTGGCACTGCAGGATTTGAGTCCCTGGCGGCGTAGTGTGTTACTGATGGTAGGCTTTGTAACTTTGGTCCCAGCTCTCTGCAGGTCATTCACTAGGTCCCCCCGTGTGGTTCTGGGATTTTTGCTTACCGTTCTTGTGATCATTTTGACCCCACGGGGTGAGATCTTGCGTGGAGCCCCAGATCGAGGGAGATTATCAGTGGTCTTGTATGTCTTCCATTTCCTAATAATTGCTCCCACAGTTGATTTCTTCAAACCAAGCTGCTTACCTATTGCAGATTCAGTCTTCCCAGCCTGGTGCAGGTCTACAATTTTGTTTCTGGTGTCCTTTGACAGCTCTTTGGTCTTGGCCATAGTGGAGTTTGGAGTGTGACTGTTTGAGGTTGTGGACAGGTGTCTTTTATACTGATAACAAGTTCAAACAGGTGCCATTAATACAGGTAACGAGTGGAGGACAGAGGAGCCTCTTAAAGAAGAAGTTACAGGTCTGTGAGAGCCAGAAATCTTGCTTGTTTGTAGGTGACCAAATACTTATTTTCCACCATAATTTGCAAATAAATTCATTAAAAATCCTACAATGTGATTTTCTGGAGAAAAAAATTCTCAATCTGTCTGTCATAGTTGACGTGTACCTATGATGAAAATTACAGGCCTCTCTCATCTTCTTAAGTGGGAGAACTTGCACAATTGGTGGCTGACTAAATACTTTTTTCCCCCCACTGTATACATCCACTACACTACTTTTGATACGCATCAGTATGGATTAAGAAGTGAGTATACGCAATGCCCACTGAAAAATAAGTGGGTATATGGATTATACCTGGGTATAGCCTCCACTACACCACTGGCCCTTTGTGTTTTACAAAAAGTGCACTTTCCTACATGAGTGTGCTGGTATTACGGTTGCTGTCCTTTCAGAATCACGAACCTGTCACACACTGAAGGCCTATAGGTTTGCCACTGCGCAAACATGTCTATAATAGATATAAAGGCTGTTAAGATACTGTATTAATGTTTCAAGAATATTTGGCCTGGCGAAGTGGTTTTATGCGCTGATTGAATGGAAGCTGATAATTATGAGTTTTTTACTCCGCTGGTCTTGGGAAGAAATTATAAGTCCTCACTGTCCGAGACAAGACCGAGTACAAATGTATCCAACACCGAGACAAGACCGAGACACTCAATATGTGGTCTCAAGACTGGTCTTGAGTACTACAACATTGGTATATCATAGCCTAAGAGGGGATACTTAAGTACTGTATATCCTTAAGTAAACTTAAGATAAATGCTAGTTTCAACAAAACCCTCTAGGCCACAGGCGCCATTATTTAGCCTACCCAAATGAGATGTGTTCTCTGGTGATTTAGCAAAGTCAACACAACAACTTCTACTTTTCATAGAAGAAGGTAGAAGGTATGCATTAACTGTTTAAAGATGTTCACCAACTCCTTAGCTTAGTGCTAACTACTTGACAAGTAACAAAACGTGAATCTGTGTATGGGAAAACTACTGTGAGCATGCCTTTGTCTGTGAGACCAACGGTAAGCAAGGCCTGACTTCCTACTGTATTTACCTGGAGCCCTGAGACGTAGGGATGCATCTCGTTGCACTCGGTCTTGTTTTTACAGCTGCTGGCCCATATGGAATAGGTCTGGAACAGATGAAACAAGGAGAGGTTAGTAAAGTGTTGTTCATGTTGTACAAGGAGAGGTTAGGAATGTGTTGTTCAATGAGAACATGTACAAGGAGAGGTTAGGAAAGTGTTGTTCAAGGAGAACATGTACAAGGAGAGGTTAGGAAAGTGTTGTTCAAGGAGAACAATGTAAAAGGAGCGGTTAGGAAAGTGTTGTTCAAGGAGAACATGTACGAGGAGAGGTTAGGAAAGTGTTGTTCAAGGAGAACATGTACAAGGAGAGGTTAGGAAAGTGTTGTTCAAGGAGAACATGTACAAGGAGAGGTTAGGAAAGTGTTGTTCATGTTGTACAAGGAGAGGTTAGGATTGTGTTGTTCAATGAGAACATGTACAAGGAGAGGTTAGGAAAGGGTTGTTCAAGGAAAACATGTACAAGGAGAGGTTAGGAAAGTGTTGTTCAAGGAAGATAAGGTAACGGGAGAGTTTAGGAAAGTGTTGTTCAAGGAGAAAAAGTACATCAGATAGGGATAGAAGGGACATCTTCCATCTGAGATTTACTTTGACCTCAGTGTGAACGTTTACAAAAAATAAAATAATACATTTTTTACGAGGTTACCTTATTTATGAGAACAGGTGCTCAATATACTCACCTGACTGGTTTAAATTAATACTACAAAAACTTGCTGTCATCATGACAGTTTTCTGCGCTGTACTGAAAGTGCTCTTGAAAACTGGACTGCTGACAAGCACAATGGTTTGGGGATTGATGGACTAATAAACTAAATACTAAAATATGGTGTAGTATTAGTTTAAGAATGGTTAAATAAATACATCAAAAGTGGTCTTCTTACCATGAATGAGACCACAGAGATGAGGAGTAGGATGTTGGAGATCCTTGTGGAGAAGAGAGGCTCTCCTTTCCCCTCAGAGAGGACCTGGCACTTCTGCAACACCAGGTAGACAAAGGCAAACAGCATCCCGTGGATAATGGCCTGAAAGACACATAAAAAAGTCAAACACACATTCAGATACTAATATATATAATAATATTAATAATAAATGCCATTTCACAGATGCTTTTATGCAAAACAACTTAGTGTGTGTGTACATGTTTGTATGGGTGGCTCCAGTGGGAATCAAATCCACAATCTTGATGTTCTACCATCTAGATCACTAACATTAAACATCCACCAACAGATTAATCAAGGGCGGCAGGTAGCCTAGTGGTTAGAGTGTTGGGCCAGTCATCGAAAAGTCGCTGGTTCGAATACCCGCCCCACCAAGGTGGGGGAAATCTGCCGATATGCCCTTGAGCAAGGCACTTAACAATATTTTGCTCCAGGGGCACCGTACTACTATGGCTGACCCTGTAAAACAACACATTTTACTGCACCTATCCGGTGTATGTGACAATAAAAAAAATTATTGACAAGTTATTGATGCAACTTCCTAAAGAAAGATGTGATACTATGATATGTTGATACCGCATCAAGAACATATGATAGGATAGAGCCACTTAAAGGGTGTCAAAACACGTTCAAATATCTACTTACAAATCGATCCAGCTTCCACCTAAACCACCACTCGTGAATGCTTCCGTTCAGCTCAAAGAGCTTGGAGACGGGCCAGACTGAGAAAATGCTCTCAAACAACCCCTGGAAGAGATAGACAGTTAGTTAAACCTGCTGATTTAGGATCAGTTTAGCCTTTTAGATAAAATAAGATAAGACAACATGGACAGGGGGGCCCTGATCCTAGATCACTATTCCTGCTCTGAGACGCTTTACGAATACGGCCCCTGGTCTTAAACAGTGACCCATACCAGTTGAGAACTTTTTAGTTCCATTCAAAATCTCAAGAGAGATAAAGCCTCTAAATGCGTGAATAAACCGGATGATGAACTCACCTGTGAATGCGCAAAGAAGCAGATGAACAGGAGTAACCCAAGCAGCTTAACTAGAATCCCAATGTGCCACATCCCACTACCTGTAAAAAGACAAATGACTAAACACTCACTGTGCTGGACAGAATTTCTTCACAATTCAACACTAGTATGAATCACTTCTGAATTAAACACTTTTAAATCAAAGCATTTCTTAGCTTTTAAATCACTGGTGTATTTGCTATCATTACTTCTACTACTATTTGTCCAGTACAATGGCTGACCCATACGGACCGTTGGCTTTCTTCTGCAGTATCTGGGGCCACATGGCCATGGTGGCATAGATTATGACGAACCAGAAGGTGACCAGAGGCACAAAGTAGTAGAACTGGTACGGCCGGTCCATCACCAGACACAGAACTATGACCAGGAAGTTGAGACGGAATAGGACCTGTGGACAGACAGGAGTACGATGAAGTTGCTCCTATACGCTGATCTGGGGTTAGGATTGGGAGAAGGGAAGCTGATCCTTGTTCTGTACCTAGGGGAAACTTCACCACGGAGCGGACAAACACAGGAAATGGAAATGGAAATGGCCATTCTCACTTTTAACAAAGCATTCTAAAGAACAAACATGGAACCTGCTTAATAAATAATTATAATTATCTAAATGAAATAAAAATAAATAGTTTTGCATGGTTGAACGGACAATGCTTTTAACAGTTTGACAATGACACACAGAGGGTGACTTGAGATAAGGAACTTGATACTGCAGCACAACCAAAGTACAACCTGTGTGAAGTAAGCTTGGGCCAGACCATACGGAATCTCTCTTATCAAGGGTTTCCTTATCAATACCTCCACATATGTGATCAATACAGTTGTTGCTAACTATCCAGGTTTTGGTTTTTGATAAAAATGTAATTGTTTCTATGGCATATGGTACTACATGTCAGCAGTTATGTATTTTACGTTCAATTTTGTCCCTTAGGATAGGTACAGCAGCTACAACCAGTACCACAGTAAGTTCTTATTAACTCTAATAAAGCCCAATCGTTGCCTATGGTTACCTGGCACACTCTGTAGAGTCCGAAGTCCCCTTTGAGCCAGAAGAAGGAGAAGTGTCCGTATCCTGTCTGGAAAAGGTAGGCTGCCACCAGGACCCGGACATGCATGTACACAGGGATGAACTGGGAAGGAGGATTTACTTTTAAACACACACCCCTTCACTTGTACCCTTTACTTTATCACACGTCGCAGTAAAAAAAAAAAAAAAATTAGGCTACATGGATACTCACACGATACATGCCTTGTTGGAACACTTTGAAAATATAAAATGGTAAAGGCTTTCTAATGCAATTCTAAATGTGGTCATTTAGTTTATATTCAAAGCGACAGAGTTAACACATCATTATAAATAAAGAATGGTGAAACTCACAGCGCTGGCTCCAGATATGTGGTAGATTAGGATGACCAGCTGCATCCAGCCCTTCCACTCATCGGTCTGCTCTCTGTTCAGCAGCTTGGTCTACGTGGGAAATAGAAAATCACTGAGATAGAGGATAGAGCCTTCTATCAGGTCAGACATGGACGATTGAGTTTAGCAGTCAACGACAACTCATTTAAAATCCTCAAAAACATATCTGAATTCATGTAGGCCTAAGCTTCCACCTCCAAGAATACCACTTTTTCTTCCAACTCCCTTAAACATTCCATCCCAAACCCTCTCACCTCCTTGCTGTTCTCGCTGTAGAATATCCCCAGGACAAACATATAGATGAGGGGGATGAAGAAGGTGGAGTGGGTATAGAACTTCTGCTCCTTCATGAAGACGTCGGCCCGGTCACACAGGTAGAAGTAAGCCATGATGAGGCCCATCTTACACACGGCCTGGAACGGAGCCTTGTGGCTGAGAGGCGGCGCCACTGTAGCCGGCTTCTTCTCCTCGCCGCTCTCCACATCGGGGGGTGTGGGCCGGGACTTCCAGTGCCTGTTAATATGTTTACATTTTGTAAAATGTCTCTAAAGCGGCTTACAGTACAGCGGCTTTTTATTGAACCTTTATTAATACAATGAAGTCACATTGAGATACAGGTCTCTTTTACAAGTGAGCTTTGAACAGGACTCTAAAGTGCGACCAATTTGTTTGCATATGCAACAAAATATTTTTCTGTGTGACCAGGAGTTATATTTTGGAAGCACCATGCGACTAGGAAAAAACAAGTGCAGATTCATAAGCGTCATGGTTGCAGCATTGCTACAGCAAAAACGGCTTGTTTATAGCCCAACCAGGTCAAAAGATCTGACCCATATTTCCAGCGCAACATTCTTATCTTCCTATAGTGGCTCCCCGGGACCCCATTTTACATTCGTAAAGATTGTTGTGGGCCGTTCAAAAACTACTCACGCATCGTTAACCATTTGTTTACACTTTGTTCAGTCATGCAACCTCATTAGCCAGCTAGCTTACAACCTTTTAACTTTACCAGTATATCCAAACATTTGGGGGGACAGAAAGAAAGGAAAGGGATAGCTTCTTCAGGAGATCAATGACCATAGCAATGAATGAATAACAGATCTCTTGCACATCCTCATCACAAACCTGACCTTTTTAAAGAGACAGTGTACCATTTTCAATGTAATGCATCTCAATAGAAAAATAGTGCTTTTACACAATGTAGAAACCTAATATTCCACAAATGACTTTGTAATTTCAATGACAGGTATTCGTATCAACATTTTAGTTTTTATAATAAACAAATGTCTTTACAGTGTTACATATTAGTTTGGCACAACATGTGCTTCAAAAGTATCTAGAATTTATATAGGCCCAATATAGGCTGTATCTCAAACAATTAATACAAATAAAAACACTTTTTCTGGCGCTACTAAATTTCGAGTGGTGCTCCTAACTTTTTGAAAGTTGGGAACACCAGTGCGACCAAATACAAAATAGTCTAGGTGCATATGTTTCAGTATATGTGGCCCCAGCGGGGATCGAACCCATGCCCCTCTAACCGACTGAGCCACAAGGGAGCGTGTACCTGTTGTGGCCCAGAGCATGGAGCACCAGGAAGACCAGGGCTGAGCCCAGGAAGACACAGGCTGTCAGTTTCTGGAGGAGGTTGGGGGCCGGCAGGGACTGGCAGCAGGAGCCGTCGATGGGCTGCAGGACCTTGTTACACACAGCGTTCATCAGGATCATGGCACCCTGGTGGAGGATAGAGGGACATTATTATAGAGCGGAAGACTCCAGCACAGTGCAAGCCTTTTCCTGGCTCCGGATGAAGGGTAAAGGTTAGGTTTACTGTGACAGGGTTATCAGGTGTAGGGTGAAGTTGCCCTTAGATGTGGATCTTGGGTCAGTTTTGCATTTTCCCCACTAATGGTTAAGGTTAGGATTAGGGGGAGGGGAAGCTGATCCTAGATCTGTACCTATGGGAAACTTACCCCCCGAGAGCAGGTTATAATGAGCCATGCGCGGCTTGTGCTGTAACAGACTCGCAGGTTATCGCAGTCTTAAGGTATGTCAACTTAGAGGGCTTTCTGTTGATTGTACTTTGAACCCTGTCCTCAAAGAGCCTGTTTCTATAAGGTTGAGCACACTAATCATCTACTAACTAGGCAAATGCAGGTGAACATAAAAGCTGTCAAATGTTCAATGAATGAAAGTGCAAGGTATAAGGGATGGACAGAGTAATTTGACAAGGTGCTGGTTAAGAGAGTCATAGAGCCTGATGGTTTTTCAGCACAAAACTGGTTCAAAACATACATCTTTATTTCTGTTTCTATTTTAGCCTTAAGCCAGCTGTTATTTGGATCACACAGATGCAGGAAGAGGTGCCAGGCCAGACAGACCACCTAAACACCTACCACATTCCGGGTGCTCTCGGGCAGGTGCAGGCCATCATCTGATTGGGCAATGGTTTCCATGGCAGCCTGGCGCGAGGCGCCCAGGAACCTGACTCTGGCCTTGCCGTTGTTCTTGTTGCTGTTCAGAGTGCTGAGCGCCGCCTCGTTGTACAGCTCCAACTGCTCGTTAGTAATCATCTTCCTGTTGTCACTCAGAACTTCCTCATGGACAGGGTCTGGAGAGAGAGAGAGAGAGAGAGAGAGAGAGAGAGACACGCAGAGACAGAGAGAGAGACACACACAGAGACAGAGAGACAGAGACAGAGACAGAGAGAGAGAGAGAGAGAGAGAGAGAGAGACACACACAGAGACAGAGAGAGAGAGAGAGAGAGAGAGAGAGAGAGAGAGATGGAGGGTGGAGTAAGACAGTGAGATTGCAAAGAAAGATGGAAGAAGAGAGAAGTAAAGAGATAAAGAGAAGGAGGGAAAGAGGGAAGAGAGAGAGAGAGCGATAGGAAAAATAGGAGGGAAAATGAGAGAGAGAACAAGAAAGAGACCAAGAGTGACGGATGCGTAATCAATATCAATTCCTCACTTTCAAAGCACTCATCATCATGTCTCTCTTTGACTGACTAGTAGATGAACAGTAAAGCACGAACCCTGTAAAACCCAGTAGACCTCCCCATCCTCAGCCAGCTGTTCCAGAGGTAAGGAGATGGCTGTGAGGTTGGCCCTGTACTGCTGCAGCGCCTCGCTGCTGCCACCACGCAACTTGATGGACCACTGTGGGAGAGATAGAGATTTCAATGATGAAATGCATCTAATCTAAACTATGCAGGAGGAAATGTGATAAATATGTGGTAAACAGAGTTGAGAGTGAGCATATTTCACTAACAGTGGCAGCTCCGATGATGACGACATCTGGTTTTACAGAAGGATCCTGAAACACAGTCAAGAAATCATATTAAATCATGCCATGTTACTATTTTGGAGTGATCTTAAATGGCAGTAAACTGTTGCTATGTATTGTCTGCTTACGGGAAACAGAAATAGCTGAGGGCTCTTCCAAGGGCTCAATTCAATCAAACCTACATACATCACGGTATTTATACAGCAGCACTTAAATATAAATTTTTTCTCACATATTGCATATGCATTGTCAAACTAAAAATACATTGTAAAAATCTCTCATTAAGTATACACTTTCACTTTAAGGAATAAGACACATATGTTGTGTAAACAAAGATGTGATTCAGTTTATGTCGGATTAGATAATAAAACATTTCTAATCTATGGTAGATTTGACTGAACTCTGATCTGCTGACAAGCCCTGCAGGTTAGATCAGAGTTATGGTCAATTCGAATTGAAGGCACTCATTTCAGGAAGTGGTTTGAATTTAAAATAAAATAAATGGTATCTACCTTTCAGTTTATTGATAAGTCATTGAAAATGGATGTCCCTTTTTAAATTATTGAACTGGAATTTCAGTAAACTTTTTGAATTGACTGCAATCAATTGGAATTGACCCCAACCCTGTGTTAGATACATGTGCTTGCCTTTACCTCTGTCCATGACATCAAGCGCTCCTTCAGAGAGTTATTCACTTCTGCATACCACAGGAAGTCCTATCAACAAAACAGGAAACAATCGATCTTATCGGGACACTCCCCAAAATAAACATGCTGTTTGCCTTAATTATTATTTTAATGGAGGCAAATCTACATAGTGAAATAAAAAAAGGAATTGTTGGGCTTTGACATTGTTATTGTTGACTGACAGAGGAGATGTGAAGAGCGATACATAAATAGCTCACCACATTGACTGAAGAGCTCCTATCTTCAAAGGGAATGTTCTCGTGCTGGTGGACAGACATCACAACGAGGGATAAAACAGTCAATGTCCCTCTATTTCTCTACTCAAGATTAGAGCATTGATTGAGAGTGCAGCAACTACCTATCCTATTTTAGGAATACCATGGCCACAAATCATTTACAGTGGGGAGAACAAGTATTTGATACACTGCCGATTTTGCAGGTTTTCCTACTTACAAAGCATGTAGAGGTCTGTAATTTTTATCATAGGTACACTTCAACTGTGAGACGGAATCTAAAACAAAAATCCAGAAAATCACATTGTATGATTTTTAAGTAATTAACTTGCATTTTATTGCATGACATAAGTATTTGATCACCTACCAATCAGTAAGAATTCCGGCTCTCACAGACCTGTTAGTTTTTCTTTAAGAAGCCCTCCTGTTCTCCACTCATTACCTGTATTAACTGCACCTGTTTGAACTCGTTACATGTATAGACTCCAACCTCTCCACAATGGCCAAGACCAGAGAGCTGTGTAAGGACAGGGATAAAATCGTAGACCTGCACAAGGCAGGGATGGGCTACAGGACAATAGGCAAGCAGCTTGGTGGAAGGCAACAACTGTTGGCGCAATTATTACAAAATGGAAGAAGTTCAAGATGACGGTCAATCACCCTCGGTCTGGGGCTCCATGCAAGATCTCACCTCGTGGGGCATCAATGATCATGAGGAAGGTGAGGGATCAGCCCAGAACTACATGGCAGGACCTGGTCAATGACCTGAAGAGAGCTGGGACCACAGTCGCAAAGAAAACCATTAGTAACACACTACGCCGTCATGGATTAAAATCCTGCAGCGCACGCAAGGTCCCCCTGCTCAAGCCAGCGCATGTCCAGGCCCGTCTGAAGTTTGCCAATGACCATCTGGATGATCCAGAGGAGGAATGGGAGAAGGTTGTGTGGTCTGATGAGACAAAAATAGAGCTTTTTGGTCTAAACTCCACTCGCCGTGTTTGGAGGAAGAAGAAGGATGAGTACAACCCCAAGAACACCATCCCAACCGTGAAGCATGGAGGTGGAAACATCATTCTTTGGGGATGCTTTTCTGCAAAGGGGACAGGACGACTGCACCGTATTGAGGGGAGGATGGATGGGACCATGTATCGTGAGATCTTGGCCAACAACCTCCTTCCCTCAGTAAGAGCATTGAAGATGAAACGTGGCTGGGTCTTCCAGCATGACAACGACCCGAAACACACAGCCAGGGCAACTAAGGAGTGGCTCCGTAAGAAGCATCTCAAGGTCCTGGAGTGGCCTAGCCAGTCTCCAGACCTGAACCCAATAGAAAATCTTTGGAGGGAGCTGAAAGTCTGTATTGCCCAACGACAGCCCCGAAACCTGAAGGATCTGGAGAAGGTCTGTATGGAGGAGTGGGCCAAAATCCCTGCTGCAGTGTGTGCAAACCTGGTCAAGACCTACAGGAAACGTATGATCTCTGTAATTGCAAACAAAGGTTTCTGTACCAAATATTAAGTTCTGCTTTTCTGATGTATCAAATACTTATGTCATGCAATAAAATGCAAATTAATTACTTAAAAATCATACAAAGTGATTTTCTGGATTTTTGTTTTAGATTCCGTCTCTCACAGTTGAAGTGTACCTATGATAAAAATTACAGACCTCTACATGCTTTGTAAGTAGGAAAATCGGCAGTGTATCAAATACTTGTTCTCCCCACTGTGTGTGTGTGTGTATATATATATATATATATACTCATTTACATTTTAACAATTCAGCAGACGCTCTTATCCAGAGCAACTTACAGGAGTAATTAGAGTTATGCACTTAAGAGGTGAATCCTAACTGACTTTTGAATAATCCTGCATTGATGTCAATGGGATGTCAAGGGCAGAGATCTCAAGTTAGGATTCAGCCAAAAGCTTAGAGTTTAATGTTTGTGTGTGCTTTATGCCAGGGGGACTTAGCCTACCTTTCTTCCATTCTCTCTTTGTGTAGGATCGATTATTTGTATGTATGAATAGAATAGCTGCCGTATTCTGGAATCGCCAATGAAGGCCACCCTTTTCTCATTAAGGCAAGTCTTTGCTTCACTGTGGGAAAAAACAACAACTAATGACTCACTCGCACATAGTAACTACAACTGACGAACAATTTTGCAATTGTGTAGTTGTGGGCTTGGTTAAAATGCTATCTAAAGTATGTAACACATTTTACACACACACACACACACATTCCCCCCCATTAGTGTGACTCACATGCTTTTATATTTGTGCATCATACAGCCATAGGGCTGCCACACGTTCTCTCCTAAGAACCGACCACTGGACAGCAGCCACTCACATGTGTCTCCACCTGAGGGGAAGACAGAGAGAACATCCCAGTAAGCCATAACAAAACACAAACACACAAATGAAACCTGCTGCCTCTACATGGTTTTCAACACTGCAAATGCAGCAGTGTGCGCAATGCAAGGTTCAGCCAAGACAGCATTGCAGCCTGCAGTACAAATTAAGCTATCAACATTTTCCACTAAAGCACACACATCTCATGACGTTCACTTGTGTTCTAATTGAAAATACCCATCTGGCAATTCATCAATGCAAACGAGCAAAATATGTGGGGTGACAAGAGAAGGCATCAAGAGCAGCCAGTGTCAAAGCCTGCCAGAAAACAGCAGCTGTTCTCAGTGTACACACAGAGCCCACTGTGTCCTACGCCTTCCATAAACAAAGATCACTGTATGCAAGCCATCATCGGGGAGGCGGACGCTTGCCAGCCAGATACAAACAATAATTTTTAAATGGCCAGTTAGGCTCCTGCCTCCTCTATGGCTGTATGTGCATAATTGCCATTCATAAGACATACATTAGATTCCAAAGTTTGCCACAGACAGCTATGGCTTTATGATCCCCACTATCAATCAACAGTAATTTCAAATTTGAGCTTCCTGTAGAAAAATGACGCTCCATGATAACTAGCAAGCTAACTAGCTAGTTAACGTTAGCTAGTAATTAACCGCGCAAGCGCAGTATGTTACTTACGTTAACTCGTAATTCTGCTAGCTAGCGAGCTCTTTAAAAGTGAACTGACCAGTTAACTAACGTTAGCTTAGGTTGTTGACAGATAAGAGACAGATTAACTAACAAGCTAGTTGCTAGCAGCTAATACAGTCGGATAGTTAGCCAGTAAGAGCGTACTAGCTAACTACTACAATAATGTTATTAAACATGGGTTAACTCGCGATGATGCGATTCCTCTTTGATGCTATCCACCTGCGATGCAATTAAGAGACTTGACTGTCTCTTGGTTGCAGGCATCGCATCTATGCACCTGCACTAAAACCAAAGATTGTATATCTCATTGTTCTATCTGTGCTAAAACGATGTAGCTAACGTTAGTTAGCTAATTCAGTTAATTCAGGCTCCTGCAAGTGTATTCATGTTTCCTTGCAATTGCTTAGCTATAGCTAAATCCTTGCGGTTTTATTATTCTGTTCTCTCAATTTGCAAATACCATACTGTTGTAACTAGTAAGATTGTGTTAGCAAACGCCCTAACAGCGAGCAAAAAGGGCCAAAGAGGGAAGCTAACGTTAGCTAGCTAGCTACAAGTTCCGCTAACACAGTTGAGTCAAGTGTCTACGTTAGCTAACGTAGCTGGCTATCTAACAAAATATTTAAAAGCCAGTCGCTTACCTCCATAATACCGAGAAACTGTGTGAAACACAGTCAGTAGAATGACGGCAGCGAGAGATAATAATTTAGCATTTTTAATGCAAAAATACTGATTTATTTCCCGTTTGCCAAGGCTATAGGCGAGGACCGCCATCTTGGCTCCTCCATGACAACAAGCAGACAGATATGATGCAGCGGAGTAGTCGGGGGCTGAGTACACCGCGCGTCCACGCCTCGGCTGTCTGACACTGTTGTTGTGTGGGGCATAGCTGGTGCGCGATTTTCTGATGCTGCTCGTTGACCTGCGGCTGGTCCAGCCACCTGCATCTGCGTTTCATCTTCCATCGTCAATGCAAACATGAGTTAAATAAATCATCAGTACAATTAAAGGATCCTGAAAACGTATGCTGCAAAATCTTATCAGTTGTTTGAATTGTATTCATTGTGTTGTCATCATTCCGTTCCTGGAACTATAGATTTGTGGGGATTTGACTTTCTTGATTGCCATCAACTGAGGGTATAATGATCTGAAAGACACATAAAGCAATTGGCTGCAGCTGCTATAATAAAGATAAGAGATAATACGGTGGGACATGGCCAGGGACTTGACTAAACTGCAAAAGTCTCTCTATAAAAAAGGCACTCATTTGCTTCTGCTGTTAGTCTAGAAACGCCTTGCAACTGTTTCCATATAAATGGGCCTAGAACCTGTGATATAAATAGATGTTACAGTAGATCTACAATCTAGTAGTCTATGGTGTAGAACTAGTCTAGGTAGAGCTCAAGTTGGTCTAATTGGTTTAGATATGTAGGCTAATCTATCTGTTTGTCTATATTTGGGCTAGGCCTACACCTTGGTCTATAGCCCAGGTTATAGTCAGACCTCGATGAATCAAGGTCCATCTCTATATCACTAACAGCAAACCGTGCCACTTAAGTCCATACCTGTGACTGTTCCTGTTTAGTCCAGACTTGTGACTGTACCTGTTTAGTCCGGACCTGTGACTGTACCTGTTTAGCAACACTTTTACCTTGTCGGAAGTTATATCCGTAATCGGTAGAAAATTCGGATTAAAAATGCATCGTTAACATCATCAAGCAGTGCACAAGAAAATATTAAATCCAGTTGTTAGATGCTGCACCCCATCTAACAACTGGATTTAATACTTTCTTGTGCACTGCTCTGTGATGAAAGGGATACCGATTTAATAAGAACTGTCTACCGATTACCTTCCGAGGGACACGTGCTTCTAAAAAGGTACAGTGATTTGAGGGTGACTTAACTCGAAAGCTTCTCTTGTGTTATACACTAAGACCGTAGGCCTAATCGATAATGCTGTCAAACTTGTGGGGCAACTTGGTCTAGTGCTATTGTCTAGATCAGGTGGCCTGCAGGCAAAATGAGCACTCTGCTGCCTTCCATTCATTTCATTAAGTTTAGTGACCTTTGAATCACATGACAATTCTTTGTGTGAAGAATTTACAGTTTTTTGCTCCTTTCCCAAATAAATAATTGTATATACTATATTAACAAAACTGTGCCATTAAAACTGTGCCATTAAACCCCTACAACTCATCCAGAATGCCGCAGCCCGTCTGGTGTTCAACCTTCCCAAGTTCTCTCACTTCGCCCCGCTCCTCCGCACACTCCACTGGCTTCCAGTTGAAGCTCGCATCTGCTACAAGACCATGGTGCTTGCCTACGGAGCTGTGAGAGGAACGGCACCTCCGTACATGCAGGCTCTGATCAGTCCCTACACCCAAACGAGGGCAGTGCGTTCATCCACCTCTGGCCTGCTGGCTCCCCTACCTCTGCGGAAGCATAGGTCCCGCTCAGCCCAGTCAAAACTGTTCGCTGCTCTGGCACCCCAATGGTGGAACAAGCTCCCTCACGACGCCAGGACAGCGGAGTCACTCACCACCTTCCGGAGATATTTGAAACCCCACCTCTTTAAGGAATACCTGGGATAGGATAAAGTAATCATTCTACCCCCCCCCCCCCCCCCCCTTACCCCAACCCAAACCCCAACCCCCCAAAAAATAAAAAAAAACATTGTGAAGTGGTGATCCCACTGGCTATAAGGTGAATGCACCTATTTGTAAGTCGCTCTGGATAAGAGCATCTGCTAAATGACGTAAATGTAAATGTAAGTGATATTGTGTTTATTTTTTATAAAAAGAAAAAAATGGTGTACAGTGGGGAAAAAAAGTATTTAGTCAGCCACCAATTGTGCAAGTTCTCCCACTTAAAAAGATGAGAGAGGCCTGTAATTTTCATCATAGGTACACGTCAACTATGACAGACAAATTGAGAAAAGAAAATCCAGAAAATCACATTGTAGGATTTTTAATGAATTTATTTGCAAATTATGGTGGAAAATAAGTATTTGGTCACCTACAAACAAGCAACATTTCTGGCTCTCACAGACCTGTAACTTCTTCTTTAAGAGGCTCCTCTGTCCTCCACTCGTTACCTGTATTAATGGAACCTGTTTGAACTTGTTATCAGTATAAAAGACACCTGTCCACAACCTCAAACAGTCACACTCCAAACTCCACTATGGCCAAGATCAAAGAGCTGTCAAAGGACACCAGAAACAAAATTGTAGACCTGCACCATGCTGGGAAGACTGAATCTGCAATAGGTAAGCAGCTTGGTTTGAAGAAATCAACTGTGGGAGCAATTATTAGGAAATGGAAGACATACAAGACCACTGATAATCTCCCTCGATCTGGGGCTCCACGCAAGATCTCACCCCGTGGGGTCAAAATGATCACAAGAACGGTGAGCAAAAATCCCAGAACCACACGGGGGGACCTAGTGAATGACCTGCAGAGAGCTGGGACCAAAGTAACAAAGCCTACCATCAGAAAACACACTACGCCGCCAGAGACTCAAATCCTGCAGTGCCAGACGTGTCCCCCTGCTTAAGCCAGTACATGTCCAGGCCCGTCTGAAGTTTGCTAGAGTGCATTTGGATGATCCAGAAGAGGATTGGGAGAATGTCATATGGTCAGATGAAACCAAAATAGAACTTTTTGGTAAAAACTCAACTTGTCGTGTTTGGAGGACAAAGAATGCTGAGTTGCATCCATAGAACACCATACCTACTGTGAAGCATGGGGGTGGAAACATCATGCTTTGGGGCTGTTTTTCTGCAAAGGGACCAGGACGACTGATCAATGTAAAGGAAAGAATGAATGGGGCCATGTATCGTGAGATTTTGAGTGAAAACCTCCTTCCATCAGCAAGGGCATTGAAGATGAAACGTGGCTGGGTCTTTCAGCATGGGGTAAGAAGCATTTCAAGGTCCTGGAGTGGCCTAGCCAGTCTCCAGATCTCAACCCCATAAAACATCTTTGGAGGGTTGAAAGTCTGTGTTGCCCAGCGACAGCCCCAAAACATCACTGCTCTAGAGGAGATCTGCATGGAGGAATGGGCCAAAATACCAGCAACAGTGTGTGAAAACCTTGTGAAGACTTACAGAAAACGTTTGACCTGTGTCATTGCCAACAAAGGGTATATAACAAAGTATTGAGAAACTTTTGTTATTGACCAAATACTTATTTTCCACCATAATTTGCAAATAAATTCATTAAAAATCCTACAATGTGATTTTCTG